ATGCATATATATATATATATATATATATGTCTCGTTTTAGTAAAAGATATACATATACGGCATAGAAGAACATGTTAGAATGCTTCGTTTTAAATACAAAACCCTATCTGATCTGCGTTTGCAATGTTGAATTGAATTTCGATTGCTGATGATGTCAATTAGTGAGAGAAAACTCATAGCAAAATTACTACCAACAGTTATGAATTATAGAACTCTAACTTTCCTTCCCAATATTGCTCTTGCTACTTTTACTTTGCCTTTTCTTGCTAACTACTGATTACATCTCACACCATTTTCGTAATTCATCAAAAGGATCAACCGAATGTATAGAGTTGCATATTTCCTCTCACATTAAAATTAAGGAATGTTCATTATTTAAAACCTGTATCCCTTTCTGTGTAACGCACTTATGTTTTTGTAGAATAGAACGTTATATCCTAATACTCAATGGCGTTCAAAGCGTATTTTAATCTTCCCTTGTTATTTGAAACTCGTATGACCCAAATCCCACTTCATTAGGGCGCATCTTGAAAAGGTCTCCCGAGGGTTTCTCATTTTCATTGTCTCTTTCTTTCTATCTTTCTCTTTCTCTCTGTCGTTGTAGCATTGGCGACTAGTGACTGCTGTACTGCTTGTCAAGGTGTACGTATTCAAGCATTGTTCTGTTACAGGGGTCACCATCTTGCTATCGTTGACTGTGTTCCTGAACCTTGTGGCTGAAACCTTGCCCCAAGTATCCGACGCCATTCCTTTGTTAGGTACTAATCGTTGATTGTCTGACCTGCCTGTGCTATTTTTACCACACCTTATTTCAACTACTGCCTGATAATATCTGTGTTCCATGTGTACCAGTATACATAATCGTTAAAACGCGCGTTACACACGACGTATTATTACGTTCATTCATTTACTTTATGATGCTGGATTATTGATAACCAATACTCTACCAAAGGAGCTCTTCCTTAATGGAAGACAGTTTAATTCAGTAGAACGTTGAAACTGCTTCGTCTAAAGGATGTACCCACGTACATTTTTAAAACAAATGCTCAGGCATATTTATATTTTTAAGCATACTTTCTACTGAATAGCTCCTTTTCATTATTGAACGGACCTCCAGATGTGGTTTTTTTAGCTCCGATCAAGTGTGGATGCAAGCGATCAAAGAAGAAATGTTTAGGGCACTTGGGGGCTAGTTGGACTAGGGTGCTGTTTGACTTTTCAAGGCAGTCGCGTGTCCCAAAATGCAGATGTCGTTACACAATACATTTATATTTGTCTTAATGCCACAAACATTTCCTCTTTGACTCGTGGTCGGAACCAACTGATACTTGGACGCCGAAGGGACGGCAGCTGAAAGTAGTCCAAAGAAAAATTTTCGAATTTATAGACGTATAGTTGTAACTAAATAATGATAAACAAAACTAATCGAGGATATCGTTAAAACCAACAATTCAATTTCTAAAAACGATTTATGAGACCAAGAAATTATTAGTGACAATTTTTGTTGATCTCAGTCTTAATTATTTTGTAGTAAATTCATAGAAAAGCAAACATCAGAAACAAGTACTGGATTACATTTATGATGTGTGTTAGTTAACATTGCTAAAAGGAAACGCGTTTTAAATTCGAAAATTTTATATAAACGCTCAGAAAAAAAGGGGAAAAGACCGCATCCTGCGGCAACAGCACAGGACATGGTCAGACTCGCGTGACACACTGTATGTTGCAGGTGTGACAATCTTGCTGTCACAGACTGTTTTCTCCTTGCTGGTGGCTCATGTGATAACCCAAACTTCCGAAGCTGTGCCCCTAATAGGTTAGCCCTTATTCTAATCTGCTAAAACTGAGCTTATCACTAAAACAGTACCTACTATTACCTACTTACTATTTACTATTACAGTATTATTTGCATGTAACGCCATGCCAAAGTACATACCTATGAAGTAATGATGGTACGACGGCTATGGGACACGCTTCTATCGACTGTCGTAACAGCACCCGCTGTCAAGCCCTCATACCGTAGTTATAATAATAACGTAGAAGCAATACTTGGACAACGTTTTCGAAAGAAACTACTTTTTTCCTTTCCATTGTTTCATAACTGGAAAGAAATTTGTTCGTACGTGTATATATTAGACTCAAAGTGAAGTACAATCCATAACGATGCGATGTTTTCTTCCGGGCTTTTTGGCCGTGGTCCCTGGTTATTTGCTGACGGCATCTTCAGTGTTGACTTACGTTACGACTCAGCACCTGCCCAGTCACCACTGAAGATGCCGTCAGCAAAGAACGGCGAAACGTTTGGAAAAGCAAGATTCCACAAACCACGGCCAAAAAGCCCGGAAGAAAACACCGCTTCGATATACGCCGACCGCTAAATCCTAAGAACTACAGTACAATCCATAAAATTGTGTATATGTATATAACTTTTTTGTTGAAACGTAGTACATAATTCCATCAAGGAATTGAAAATCCGTTTGCACTTATCCGAACCCTTTCTTACCTGAGTTACCTGATTCCAGGCGAACAATGAGTTTTTCTCAATACACAGGCGTATAATATTTTTCATATGAATATGTTATAGTCAAAGATAGAAACTCCACCACTAGTCAATCATCAAGGCTGACAAAAAGACTTGGTCAAAGTCCAAACCAATTTGTGATTCGACCTTGTTTTTGTTTTCGTCTAATACCAGGAGACTCTGCCTTGCACAGTCAAACGCCGAAACTCAAATCGAGATGGCATTTGACTATGGACTAAACGGGTCATAGTCAAATAACAGTAACTACTATAGAAACTTTGTCTGAACGCGCCTTAAGTCGGGTGACTTTTTCATTTGGACGTATCAATTCTATAGACGAACTGAGTAAGATGGGTGGTTGCGGGATTAATTGACTCAATTTTTCAAAACTAATTAATCTGCTACTCCGACAAGTTTCAGAAACGAGTGTCTACATTTTCGGAGATTCCTAAAGAGTGTAGATGTGGCTGCTAGTACGGCCCTCTAGTACGTTTTGTCGGAATACGCAACCTTCAAATTAAGTCAAAAAGTTAACGAGAAAGATATCGAAGATACACATCCGCATATGAATATCTCATTGCGAATATTGTTACGTATGCTTGGGCCTAACTGGCGATGGGACAATTTTCGGCACTTCAGAAACTACCTAGAGTACTATCGTCCAATTGCGACCAAATTAATTAACAAACTACACAAAGGTTACAATAGATTATTTCACATTCCACGTTTGACTACCAAGTATAGGTATAGCAAAAAGCTGAAAAAAATTATTCTGCAAAAGGGTTGCATATTTACCTTTGACTATAACACATACATATATGGAAGAATTATTAACGCGCGATACCTACAACTGACAATAGTCGTATATGAAATTTGCACCATGGGGTCAAACAATCGAAAATGCCTTCGAGTTGAGGGGTGGTTTTGACATTTCTTTCCAAGAAATCACTAGGCTAGTTTTTGTAATTTGATTGTGAATCAAGCATGACTGTTCCTGATTATGAGGTACTAGCAGTTAAATTCAACTACCGAACATCACAATAAGTTTTGTTGTTTCAAACTTTTAAATAATGATACAATTTATCACTGCAGGTTAATTCAATCAACCAAGGTTCGACCATCTGTTATGAAAACTTTTTAATTATTTTAATGAACGGATTAGTGACAAACTCCAAATTTTGACAGTTCAAACATTCTAAACTCCCAAAACTAAGAATTACACTTTGATAATATTTTGAACATTCTATCTACAAAAAGTTTAAAGGACTCTTTGATATAATTTACTGTTAGAAGAGAATGGAAAAAATTTCTCCCTATTGCAAAGGATTCCGAAACTGATTCCTCATTTTAACACTTCTTAATTCAGTTTGGAATCGGGTCGGATAATATCTTAATGATAAGTTGAATTCGTAGTTTTGAAATTGTTCTTTTATTTTATAATTTTTAAAAATTGCTTATTATTCCTTTAAATTACACCATAAAACTACAATAATAATTAAAGCGATTGTCCAAGTTTTGCTTTATAACTTCTTGTAAAAATGGAATCACCTCTTGCTTGGATGATATTAGAGTAAACTCACATCCAAAATTTATCGCATTTACTAATCTATGCACTATCTAAGCATATAGACTGCAGTTTAATAAAAAGGTGTTTATTTCAATTCTAAAAAGATCTGGACGTATATTATCAATTTGGTACAGATATAAAAATTTGGCAAAATTAAAAAAATAGGCAGAACAGCATGTTAGGAAGCTTCTAATGTATTAAAAAGGTGCAATAAGATGTATATTATTTATATATTGCATTTTGCAAATAACTTTTGATGTCACAGATACGCGTGCCCAGGAAAAACAAATGAACAACATACTAAAATCTCGTAATCTTTACTAGTTGCAGATACAAAGAGAATTAAACGTAGAACCAATACACCAAAGTAATAAGGCCAATGTACTCTAACGTCAACCTTATGATGCCCTTAACAAAATTAATTAACTGTAACTGTTGATATACTTATTCATAGGTGTGAAATTACCTAAAGTTACATACAATTTGTCTCGGTATAACCAACTATAAAACAAGGAAATTATTTTAAAAATGATTAAATGTATGTGTTACATTACAACGAACGTGCTCTATCAAATAACTATTGGGAAAATGACTCATGTCTATCCTAACCTAGCTTGACTATTAATTTAACCATCAGGCCTTGTTATACCGGTGGTATTGGTTTAGAAACCTAAAATGGACTATTTTCAGTTAAGCTACGATTATTGTATTTTTAATTCAGTTAGAATCAAAGAAAGTATTCTGCTACCTCATTAAATAAAAAATAATAGGAACCTACAGCTAACATTTCAGATTCAATACTGCAATAAATGTTATTTATTTAACATCAACTGATACTGTCGTCACTGTAGTGCAAAATACAATCTTAAAGTCACTTTATTTTTAGGACGTCCGTATTTTTTAATAACGGCATCTGTTTCGACGTTTTCCGATAGACTATTTTCGTTATTACAGACGTGAACTTATCTTTTTAATATGTGGAATGATATTAAAAGATATGATGTGGTACATTGTAAGTAAGAACCTTAAACCATGAAAAACAGGGAATTCGTAACTGTTTGCGGAAAAGTGAAGCCAGTTTGGTTCCAGATCGATTAAATGAACGCATATGCAGTGAAATCTCCCTTCAGCGGACACTTCTGGGACCGGCAATAAGTGTCCATAAATGAGTGTGTAAAGTGTCCGCATAGAAGAAAAAATTAATATTATTTAACCTACATATGTTTACTAATGTATCTGTGTATCCTACCTGTGAATGGTATGCCTTCACTTCCTGCTGGAATGAACCATTCGTAACAATCCATCAATGTGCTTTCCCTTCACCACCTTCCTAATCTAATCTAACCTAACCTAACTTAACTGCGATTCTAATAATTCCTTTTTTTACTGATGTTAAACTTTTTTGATAATTTACACACACTCAGCTTTTCCTTCTGGTAAATCCTACTACGTCAATTTTTTCTTTTAAAGTTAGAACATTACGTTTAGGGGCCATTTTAATCCACAAATAGTTTAGAACTACCAAATTTTATGTATATAAGTTACAGTTTAATACAGTCTCAGCCTGTTAATCTAATCACAAGATATTTAGGCTACTACACTGGACAATTGATTCCGGGAAGTCCCTAAACCGCTGACGAGAGATGCCCCTTAAGGGAGATTTCACTGTA